TGGAGCTCATCCACGGGCACCCATCACCTCCATCCTCACCAATTTTTTGTTTCACCCTGTCTCTCTAATCCCCCTTCTTCACTTTTTGCTCTTCACAAGAAGCTTTCATCTCTCTCTCTGCTACGCTCCCGTCACCCCATCACTCTCTCTCTCTCTAATTTTCTCTTTTTTGTAATTTCCCTCCCTCCATGGAGAGGGGGGTGCGTTTAACTCTCTGTGTTTGTTCTTATATTTCATTCATTTGTCTGTCAAGTGTTGCCCCAGAAATCACAAAAAGAGAACAAATGTTGTCTGAGATCTAAGTAAATCTGTGTATAGCAAACTTTACTGAATGAGTTGAACCGGTTTTACCTTTTCCAATTATTACATTCCAAGTGAATCCCTATTTGACATCATCTGGCCTATTAACCTGCAGCTTTCACCTATTAACTTCAAATGAGATCAAAAATGAACGTCATGCTGTATTCACAAAGACTTTAAACCAGTTAATGAGACCATAAACTCATTACCAAAATGTTTACTCGGATAATAAAATGAAGTGAGAAGTAGGGTTATTTTTCTCATAAACATATATCAAACTTCTTTCTGCAACCAGTGGACTAAATGCAGGTTTAAAGAGCTATCTCAATCGCTTCACTTTTTCAGACCCGGAGGCTATGTCCACTTTACAGTCTATGAATTTGCAGTTTGTGATAATAACCAAAATGGACAATGTATCTTTCTCTGACTATCACTCTGTAACTGCTGCTTAGGAGACAGTTTGTGTTCATCACTTCCTGTAGATAGTGATGATTTCCTGCCACTGCCCACACCCAGCAGCAGAACATTTAATATGGGCAAAGATGGCAGATGTATTGCGTTTTAGTACGAAGGGGGAGATGCTGCTGCCTCTACTGTGCTTCTTCTTCTGTGGTGTATTTTTACATCTTAAACAGTTAAATACGTGCGGCTACAAAATATAATCTGTGACTTGCACCAGATAGTTTTCCCAATAATGCAGAATAAGGAGATACAAGTACTGCGCCATTTACTGTAATTTGTATTCTTCCACTGAAGAGGTGAAGTATGTATTTTACGGAGATAGTATGTTTAACATTTTTAATTAAGGATTTGATCTGTGTCATGTGTTATAGTGCGATGTCAGCACAGCAGCAAGTCTTGTAAATGTATCAATTTACATGCCCATTCGGATCCATGCACATTTCATCTTTAACAAGGGTGAATAATCTGGAGCTAATCTTTGACAGGCAAATCCAATCAGTGAAGCCATTGTCTGTCTTCATTTGAAGCCGTGCCAGACTTTGATCGCCATGGCAGTAAATTGATTAGCAACGATCAAATGGTCCCTGTTAAATGCTGATCTTGGAAAATCAGTTAATGTAAAGGCCTTAAGATGAGGCTGTGATTTATCTCCAAGCTACTCTCATCTCACTGCTCTCTGTACGGCTCGGGAACAAAGCAACATAGACGTGGTCGCAGTTCCCGCTGCCTGCATTACGTAGAAACTTGGTTTAATCTCACCGGCTGTCTGGTTTTGTGCAGACTTACAGGAGCAGTCAGCATGGTGTCCGACTGTCTGTTGCAAATGTGAATTTCATTAAAAGTTACTCACAGAAGACAAAACTACTTGAATTTGAAGGAGAAAAGGGTCAGGTGTGTATCTTTAAGTCCCCCTCCTATCACTCACCTTCTCCACTTTTACCAACAACCCCTGCCACCCGCACACACTCACAGCACATGGGGAGAGGAAGCAAAGTGGGAGGCACCTGATCTCTTCAATCACCCTGGTTGCAGTTGTGATTAATGTAAAGTGGTTCTTATTTACAACCCAAATTGCCAGAGCAGACAGGTACGAAATAAAAAAAATCTTAAATTCTCCGGTGTATGTCCGACAGCAAGGGCAAACACCTAAAGAGCTTTAATGTGGAGAAACAAATATGGAGTAAAACCATTAGAAATGCATTGCCTGCCCGAGTTTGAGCACTTTTACCTCAAATCCTAATGCAAAGATTATTCAAAGTGACAGTTTATTTAATGACAAGAGAGTCTTTGTAATGCTCTCACTTATGTCAACCTTGAACTGAGCTGTAATCCACAAACCTTATCTCCGCTCAGTATTTTTAGTCAGTCAGTCAGTCAGTCAGTCAACCTCCTCATAGTTTATTGGGTTTTTTTATCCAGCTGAGCTGAACAAGTAGTAACTGAACAATGAGAGAGCATCGTGAGGGGGGTTTATGTTTTCAAAGTCTATCTCGTCCTTGAGGAAATTAGTAGTTCATTTTAGAGTTAAAGCTCGAAAGATATTGAATGCTAACAACGTACCTCCTCCTTCTGTTGCTTTGCTGTCTGCTTATCAGTCCTGCGGAGTGGATTTATGTATTTTTGCAGTGCATTGTGTTTAAGGTCACAAGCAGTGAATGAATTAGTTTCCTTTTCCCCTACTTGTCTTTTTTTCCTCAAAGACTTGCATTAACCTGTTTTCATTTGATACCCTGTAACGTTTTCCTTTCTTTCATCCACCTTTCTCCTCGACCCTGCACTCCTGCTTCCACCTTCACTGGGTTTCCTCATTTTCTAAAACCCTTTCAGTGTCAAAGGTCACATCTTACAGCTTTATGAAATCAATCCCAGGTCAGACCTTTTTCTGCTACAGAGCCAGGCTTTCTTTTCCTGTGGTAATAGACAGCTGACTGAAAACAGGCCAAAGCATTCTGAGGACAAGCTTCCATTTCTTTATTTATTCACAGTTGCACACTGAATTCATTCATGCAGTCCATCAGGCTTGTTGTCATTTCTGTGAATGTATTCACTACAAATGTATCTTTCAGTATTAATAAATAGATCTGTACTGATGCTGCCGTTGCTAGGGTTTACAATGGAGAGTGACAGACAGGACAGAAAGAGAGGCAGAACAGAGAGGCTGAGTGAGTGTGTACCTCGAAATGTTCGGAGTTGTACTGTTCCTTGAAATAAAATGTCCGCATCTTTTATTCATGTTCTGTTGTCAAGGTGTCAAGAGTTTTGTTAAGCCTCTCTCTGTTACGTTAACCTTGTCCCTGTGAAACGATCTCTCTCTATCTCGTTGGTTAAACATAACTTCCGGGCCACGGGGGAACAGAGAGAGAGAGGAAGAGATGGAAGGATGATGAGGAAGAGCTTCTGCTGCTTTCCCTTCATCTTTTCATCATCAAACAAACATGGCCTCGTACAAAAAAGAGTGCAGGAAGAAAGCCATCAAGACAGAACAGGCACAGAGAGGAGGAGGAAGAGGGGAGACTGAGGGTGAAAGTGATGAAGAGGAGAGATTGAAATGGAGGAGGGGGCAAGGAGAGAGAGTACCTGTGTGCAGAGCAGAAAGGTGTGCAGTCCATCATCTCCAGACAGGGCTGTCTGGGGAGTTTATTTTTACCTCGATATGAGAGGAGTGCGGACGGGCTGCAGCCGCCTGGCTTTACAGCGGAGGTTCGAGGACAGCTGCTGTCCCAGAGTGACCATCTTTCACGCATGACGATACACAATCATACACACCTCATGGACACACAGACACACCGAGCTCCAGGTCAAAGCTTTTGCTGTGTCATGCTTCAATTTGAGTTTTGTATACAATTGATTTGTCAAACAATTAGTCAAGTAATAGAAAATAAATCCCATTATTTCGATTTTTCATCAACCAATAATGTAAGTAGTTTTTAAAGCATAAATGCCAAAGATATATTCATTTCTGTTTTCCAAATTTGAGAACATTAATCTTTTCTATTCATAGTAAACTTTGGATTGTTTGGGTTTTAGACTGGCTGACGGTCTGACAAAACTAGCTATTACACTCTGTCACCATTATGTCATGAGCATTTAACAGTTTTCTGGCATTTGATTAGCAGATCAATCAGTAATGTTAATAATCGTAAATTAAAATGATAAATGACCAAATGCTACCAACAATATGTATAGATAACAAACTTTAGGTCCCATTTTACATAATCAAAATCAAACTATTTCATTGTCGCTAAATACATATACAGTACATTTCACGGATATGAAATCATTTACATTGTATTCAGGGAACATGAACTGTACCTGCTCATTACCCGCTTGTCCAAATCTACAGGGTGCTGTAAGGAGTCAGTGTGATCTACTATTGATCTTGTGTGGATCAGTGTTTATCTCGTATTTATAGACCCAGTAGATCATCACTCCCCCTGTTCTGTAAGTCGAGTAGCAGCACAGACACACTGGGAGGAGAATTGATTAACAAATCAAGCCTGTAATTAATTCTCACTGTGATCAAAGCCATGTGGAGAGCCCGAGGCCCGAGGTGTTTTTACAGTGCGGTCCCACCGAGCGTACTCTTATCACCATTCTGTTTGTTCTTCAAACAGGTGGGTTTAAGATTTAGCATAATGTCGGGTGAATTTCAAATGTCTTAAAAGGTTGCCATGTTGTTTGGCATTCTGAAGTTTAGTTGTGCCCGAAGCTGATGTGTGTCTTTCTGTTCCTCGTGAGATTTGTAATGGACTGTTACGCCCTCACACATAACTGCACATTGCATCGCAAAGCTGCTTGGCGATTCGTATCCATGCGTAGGATCTCTCATCTTTATTGTGTGGCGCTTTCCTGGGAGAAACTCCCTCTTAAATATGGACTTGTACTAAATATAGAGAAGGAAGTGTAATTGTCTTGAGTCCCAAAGCAGTGGTTTGACTGCTTGAACTTGAAACTCAGAAATGCTCAAGTAATACGTAAGAGGAATCTTTGGGGCATTTGATTGACACTGAGCGGTGTTTGTGTATTACGTAGTATAAGTATAAGTAGTTAGTACTATGTTTTTCTGTCGTAACTGTCTCACTGTCAATGTCGAGCGTTTGTTGGCCTCCATTCCTTTTATAATGTTTATTTTAAAAAATGTTTTACCAGTTTTATTCACCCATCTGTTGTTGCCTGTTTTGATCTTAATACACAAACTGACTATTTTCTTCCACTGTGTTCTTTATCTTTCTGTGCAGGTTAGCTCTGTATGTGTACGAGTACCTGCTGCATGTAGGAGCGCAGAAGTCAGCACAGACTTTTCTCTCAGAGGTAAGTCACAAAGTGTGTCTCAGAGAGGCAGCCCATGTATTTCATGTGTCCACTCTGAAAGGTTCCAGTTCCTGTGTCCACTTAGTGTAGCAGCTAATTGAATTAGCTTGGCCTTACAGTGCTGAGCCAACAGGTTAGTAGCAGCAGACGTTATTAACATTAGTGTTGCATTTAGTGGGACTGGAGCCGGAGGACGAGGAGAGTTACGATGCTCAGCGAGGAGCTGATGTCTTTTACTGAGATCATTCACTGATCCGCTCAGCAGCTCCGTCTCAGTCGATCTCTTTCTATCTCCTTCCCGTCCTCTCTGATTTCTCCACTTCCTCTTTGTCATCTCTCAGCAACTATTCCAGAGAAGCAAGCTTGTTCTCACTTTAATTCTGCAGAGGTAAAAAGGTGCCAGGGTGAAAATAAGGTCAGCTGATTCTAGTGCTTTGCTGTAAATGACAGTAAATTACTATGTAGGAAACAGAGGCTGGGGGCCGCTTGTACATCGGCCAGAGGAAGAGGAGAACAAAGAGAGGGGGATGGAAAAGGTTACATCATCAGCTGGCACCAATTCTCATCACTCTGGCTTTTAGTGTGTGTTTGTGCACATGTGCTCACACACACCGCTCTGACACCCTTTCCTCTCTGCCATATAACTTGCTCTTTCTTTGACAGATGTGGCAGATGAAAGGGATAGGCAGTGTCGCATTCAAGTGTGGGAACGCATTAGCTAAGAGTCTAACAAGTATAAACACAGCCACTTGCAAACAATACACACGGGCGTGCATGTATGAGCATGCACACACTCCAAACACACATTTTATAAACATTACGAGCTCATAATGTAGCTCTAGCTGGAGTAGTGGGATGGCTGTAAAGGACTGTTATCCACTTTGTAGCATCTGCATTTATTAACAATCTAACCTCAGGCTCGAGAAACAAGAGCCAAAATAGACAAATGACGAATCACTCCTGAATACTAATACCAAAATCAGACAGCTCAGAACTAAAGGAAACCAAGAATCATGCAACCCTGTCAAAATACGTTGATGGCTCAGTCAATTTGTAATTCCCTTACACACCTTATGCCTTACGCCTACGATCACATAACAACAACAGGGCTGCCAACATTTGAGTTCAGCTTGGAGTGAAACATTTTTTTGGTGAACCCAAAAAAGAAACGTTCATGTGTACAGTGTTACAAATGTATTGAACATGTACAAACTGTGTACAAGTTATATATCTAAACAGAGAGTCCCTCACTGAGCTGTAGTTATCTCTCAGTCTGACAGGACAGAGCTCTCCCTTTCCTTGTTTTAGAAACAGCTTTTAATATCCGTTAAGCTAACCAGATGCTAACAACAACAATGCAAATAGTGAGTTTGGTAGAAATATACTGTATAATAGTAAAGTTATTTAAGATGATAAGATTTAAGATTGAAGATTTACATTATAAATATTCCCCAAGATTATTCAAAAGCATATTCTTCCAAACTCCTTGCTGTAGTATGACACACAGGAGACTATTGATGTGTGTAGTGAGTTTGGTAGAAATAAGCTGTATAATAGTGATTGAATATTATTGTATTCTCTTTTTTCTGAGTTGCACTTTGCAGACGGTCCCTGAGCACTCGTTTCTTCTCCGGCTGCAGATAGAGACCAACGTAATGTGTCCAGCTCGGAGGACGGCGCGTATTGGCTTTTTTTTTTATCGAAATGTGATTGTAGTTCGTTGTCAACCTTACCACGGTACTGAGGAGACGTCATTTGTGTCTCAATAACGTTTTGTTCATGAGTTATTGATCCGTGAAATTAGAATCTCCCAATACCGTTCCAACTTTACTGAACTAAGCCAGAAGAACGTCCCATTTCGTAGACCGCTCGGTTTGCTGTTCCTTCACTTTATTTTTATATTTATATAAATTTATTTTGGACGAAAACTTAGCGTGAGGAAAGGCAAGTGTGGCGTGAGTGCGTGAGATATGGGTTAATTGCGTGACTCTCACGCTCAATGCGTGAGTGTTGGCAGCCCTGCCAACAATATGCTAACACCTTAACAGAAATCATGAGGGAGAAAAAAACAAGACAGCAAGAATGAAAAGGTTGAAATATATGAGTAAATAAGAAACTGTAAAAGTAGCTTTTCTTAAATCTCAATCCTCACTCTAGAGAGCTGCCCCCACACAGCCTCCATCTGCCAGTGATCACACTAAAGGCTTGTCACTAGCATGCTGAAGGTAAATGAGCGAAACCCCCGGGAGTACAGACCACAAGAAGACAGGACATGCAGGCACAGTCAATTCTATTTTCTCCGAGGCGTTCCAGATGTGTGTAGAATAAAAAAACACGCTAAAAAGTGTCCTGAATTAAACTGTTGTGAAACAATTGTGTCTGGACTGAGCTACAGCCAATTAAAATGTGAGAAATAAGGGATGCTCATTCTGCATCTTTTGGAAGAACTATTTTTCATGTTGTATATATGGAAACTGCCAGCTGTCTCTTATGTTTCAAGTTAACCAAACTCTTTACTAGAATGTCTAACTTAGACTGAAAGCATGTGGGATAAACAACGGGAGGCAGTTCAAAGCAGGGCATTCCTTCTAAGGTCAGGACGGTCTGATTGTAAGTGATTCAGTTGTTCCTGTTTTTCTAGTTCATGTTCACTCTGAAGGTAGAGCAGGTGGTACAGTGGTCTTATTCTTTTATTAAATGTTGCAGTGAAGGAAATTAAAAAGATCATCATCAGATCATTTTTAAAAGTGATGTAAGTCTGTTTATAGAGAGGAGAGGCAGACTAAACAGTGTGTGTGTGTGTGTGTGTGTGTGTGTCTAGACATTGCAGTTGACATTGTCTGCGAGCATTAATCATCCCTATTGTGGGTGATGTCAGCGCTCATGTTAGACACTAACCTTGACCGAGGTGATAAGGTGTCAAAATGATTCAAGCGTTTGTTAGATGGTGTCTTTTTCATCCACACTCCCAATGTTGGAAACCATTTTTTAAGCCCCGCCCTCCTCTGTTTGCTTCTTCTGTCTCTGATTACAAAGGCAGATTTACCACCACCAGGTTTATAGCAGTGGCGAGCCGTCAAGGCCCTCTAGGCCAGTGCTACTCAAAGTGTGGTCCGCGGACCACTGGTGGTCCGTGAGCGCCCCCTAGTGGTCCGTGAGTATATTGGTAACATTTCACATTTGAAATACATGTATTTATTTAAGTTTTTCGCACTCTCGCGGGAATATCTCCGCAATGGAACGAGCTTAAGTTTCACTTTCGATTGCATGATATAGCCCAGATAAACACCTTCATCACACATCTTGCCACTGGTTTGTATCATTTTCAGGCGATTTGTAAAAAACGATGTGTTTTTGGATATTTGTGGAGTTAGGTGGTCCGCGAGTGTTTTTTTTATTGGTTAAGTGGTCCTTGCAGTGGCGGCTGGTGTAAAATATTGTTGGTGGGGCTTTTGATATAGTGAGTAAAAAAAGAAATGGGAGAAATGACCCCTTAAATGAGGACTTCTGGTGATGTAATGGCGCGTTTCCAGTGCAGCGCGGAGCTCGCTTTAATGCTGCGTTCAGACCGGACGCGATGTGAATATTCGCTTCGCTCTAAACGCTCCAATCGCATCGCTCTAGTCCAGTGTTTCTCAAACTTGTTCATACCAAGGACCACTTAACCAATAAAAAAACACTCGCGGACCACCTAACTCCACAAATATCCAAAAACACATCGTTTTTTACAAATCGCCTGAAAATTGTACAAACAAGTGGCAACATGTGTGATGAAGGTGTTTATCTGGGCTATATGATGCAATTGAAAGTGAAACTTAAGCTCACTCCATTGCGGAGATATTCCTGCGAGAGTACAAAAAACTTAAATAAATGTATTTATTTCAAATGTGAAATGTTACCAATATACTCACGGACCACTAGGGGGCGCTCACGGACCACCAGTGGTCCGCGGACCACACTTTGAGAAGCACTGCTCTAGTCGCTCGAGTTTCACCGCGGCTGCCAGCTGTGTTTACTCGCATCATTCAAACAAGACGCGCTGGCTCGGGAGCTACAACTACAACAAAATGAACATATTTTACCGTGATTAAATTGTAATACACGTTTCTAAATGATGCCGACGTAACAACATACTGATACCGGTTAGTAAAAACCATGAATTAATGCTTTGACAAGTCTGCAGACAGACGGCAGGCGAAAAACCTTTTAGAATGCTTGTTTTCTGAATGGAGCTTGGCTAAGCTAACGTTATATATGTTCCGACCGTCCACACTCACAACAACGGCCTATACAGACATAAATAAACCAGCGACTGTATTCTCCATGACACAGACAGTCTGTGGTTTCTACTTGTTTAACTTTTGTCTAGTTTCTGAACAGATCGTATCTCTCCCCGGCTGTTTGAAGAGCAAGCATGGGAAACAAAAGATAGCATTTACCTGTTTGCATCCAGCTAGCCTCGTTGATACGTTTTGTCTTTTGCACGAGCTTACTGTGATATATACAAATCGGGTTGGTCCGGTCCAAGGTCTTTAAGCATCAATTTATCTCCCAAACTTCTCCTTTGGAAAGGATTGGAGAGTAGCTCTTACACGGAATTGGGTGCGGACCGAGGTCCGGCGACTCCACCTGCACACCATTCTAAATACTGCGTCACCTTGGTCACTCACGTGTCTAAAAAACAACTCACGTCACGTCAGCAACGTGGGCGCCAACGTGAGCGCCCTCGTGACCAACATATTTGACGGCGCTGATTGGCTGAAATTATGTTTCGGCGGCACAGTTTACTATTGAGACTTTTACAACGTGCTGGTTGCTGCTGTTTGTCTCGGGGGCTCCGCCCGGTAATGATAAACTAATGCCACGGGCAAGGCCAGGCAGGAAACATGTGATTTATCAGTAACTTTATACATCGTAACACAATTTTAAACGAGATTTTATTGTAGATTATACATTTTACTGATACCAATTGTATGATATTTACCTTGTTCATTAAAAATAAAAATATAAAATATATATATTTTTTTATATATATATTTTTTTAATATATATTTTTTTAATATATTTTTTTTAATATTCTTTTTTTGAATGTGGGAAGAGGTGGGGCGGCGCCCCTAGCGCCCCTATGGGCCGGCCGCCACTGGGTCCTTGGTAGGAAAAAGTTTGAGAAACACTGCTCTAGGCCCTCTGTGAGGGCCTAAGATATTTTAAAAAATAATATTTGAAAACATTAAAAAAAAACATTTGTTTTTGTTACATTTTTAGTTTGACCAAAATAACTTGATTTAATTGTATTTAAAATAACATTTCCAAATAAATAAATCCTTCGAATCTGCCTGTTCAGTTTCTGTTAGAATGTGAAGGGTTAAATGCCGTCTCTGCGAGCTTGGTCCAATTGTACCTCCCCCGGCTGCGATCGGCTACTCTCGTCTACTTTCGAGGCGAGCCGCAACGCGTCTCAAACAAGCCGAACGTTTTTTTAATGGATTTTTTATCAAAGCACTTAAGATATTCATTGCTATCGGGATGTTAAGAGCATTCCATGGAATATAACAAAAAGTGTATCTCAAGCCGGTTTCTCAAATGTACATACCCTACCTTTAATAGAAGTAGTGTCAGAAGACACAGCTTCCTGATGTGTTTGTTTGTTCTGTGTCTGGTTAAAGTAGCTTCCCATTATGCCCGCCTGATGTGATCATTTTAGCTAGCAGACTCTCTTTGAAATAGCTAGTTAACTCATTAAGCTAACATTAGTTACTCAAGGGGGTCTCGCTTTTCTAATTTCCTCTTCAGATGCTTGACTTGGATACAGCACTTTAGCAAAACAGAGGCTAGCTCAATACTCTAATGTTTATATAAACTATTTCAGATAAAGAGTTAGGTTGGGGATGCTGGGGGTGTAAACTTCAAAAATGTTATATGGCAGGACCAAGTAGCTAATGTTAGCCTACATTCTCATAGCATTCACAACATAGCAGTGACGTGCACAGGTACGGGCCCTATGCAGTGCTTCTCAAAGTGTGGTCCGCGGACCACTGGTGGTCCGTGAGCGCCCCCTAGTGATCCGTGAGTATATTGGTAAAATGTTACATTTGAAAGAAATACATTTATTTAAGTTTGTCGCACTCTCGCGGGAATATCTCCGCATTGGAACGAGCTTAAGTTTCACTTTCGATTGCATGAAATAGCCCAGATAACCACAATAATCACACATGTTGCCACTTGTTTGTACCATTTTCAGGCGATTTGTAAAAAACGATGTGTTTTTGGATATTTGTGGAGTTAGGTGGTCCGCGAGTATTTTTTTATAGGTTAGGTGGTCCTTGGTATGAAAAAGTTTGAGAAACACTGTGGTACGGGCTAATGTTGTCCGGGCAACAGCCCGTTTGTCATTTTTGTCTGACCTGCCCCTCTGGAGAGAGCGAGAGTTTTTTTTTTTTTTTCTATTCTGGCCGAATCAACATGATAAGCCCACATTTAGTATTGTAGTGTCTCACTGCGATAAAAACACAACTTGTCAGCGCTTTCATCTGCCCCCAGTCATGTGACTTTGTTTACAATCTGACAGCTAAAAGCAAAGGAAAGCCCTCCGAGTCCGTCCTCAAATGGCTATGGTGATCACAGAGGTCGCGTTAACCGAATATTTTCCGTCTATGACGGATTTTTTTTAACAATGCAGTCCGTCATTTTGACAGATTAAAACAAACTCGGAACAGCGCCAAAGTGTTCCCGCAGCGAGGCTCCGGTGTTATGCCGTGTTATGCATGCCCTCCAAAAAGGAAATTATACCGTTTACAAACCTAACTGTGCCGTACAAATCATTGAAATGTCTGAGTTTTGGCTTTACGCTGTGCACGCTCCCGCGAGGTGCAGCAGCCATGCATAACACGGCGCATGTGAACTGTCTCTCCCCCCCCCCCCCCCCCCCCTTGACAGTTCACAAGCATGCTTTCTCCAGAGTTTCAGAGTTGTGTAAAGGCCGACAGGTAATTCTGGATTTTGACAGAAGTTTTACGATCCTGTCCGACAAAATGATGGGCAGCGAAAAAGTCTAGCGCAACCTCTGGGTGATCACACCAAATGGCGTTAGAGTATAGGGGACAAACCAGGGGACTTTACTACCTCTTGACACCGTCGGTTATTTACAACAACAAAAAACACCTAAATATACTTTTTATTGTGCTTTTGTCTTTCTGTGTCTTTTCATCTGCTCCGTGAACTCCCTCAACGGGGCAGCTCACTCTCTTTTCTTGATTGCCCTCTCACGGGAGAACACTTCACTGTTCCGCTTTATTGTAGGATTTCTGCCATGTCTCTACTTTAATTTGACCATCTCTGTTATTAAGTTATGGAATTCTAAATAAATAAGTAATGAAATACCTTACCGTTACTGCGCTCATATAGAATGATAAGAATAATATTGAACTGGTTTAATTAATTAAGTTTATTTAAGGTAATTAGTTAGAAGCCCTATTTTATCAGTAGCCTATGTCTGCCCAGCAGTTACAATGGTCAAACTACATTAAAACAGAATTGTCCCCATTTTTCTTTAATAGTTACTAACATTATATATTTTAATGAAATATGGACTGCAAAAAATGTGCCTGAACAACGAATTTAGCAGTTGGACATGAAAGTCAACTGAGTGTCGCTTGCAATGACAGTGTTGTGCTTTTATTACATTACATGTCATTTGTTAGACACTTTTATCCATAGTGACTTACTATTATTATTAGGGATGCTCCGATTGCCAATTTCGGGGCCGATCGCCGGAATCAGTATCGGCCGATACCGATCGCCAATCCGATCAAGTGGGCGGGGCCTAAATGGAAGATTTAAACATCACTTTAAATCTTCCATTAAAAGTGATGTTTAAACTCAGTTAATGGGGCTCATTCTGTGGAGCTTCCACAAACAACAATCAACTTAATTATTACATTCAAATGATGTACATTATTCAAGTTTACATTCACTTTGGATAATAACACGGGAGAAATGAGCGGAAGCGCTCTCTTTTCCTCTCTCCCTCTCTCTCTCCCCCTCTCTCCCTCTCCTGACAGCCTGTCAGTATATCATGCAGCTCACTGATCTATAATAACTAGTTTAGCTTGTTCCAGAGGTAGATAAAATAGCTAGGTGTGTTAGGTCTAACTCTTGTGTGTTTCGCTCCGCTTACCAGTCCGGCGGGCGGAGCTGCAGGATTTCTGCTTCACACACACGTTGCATACCGCTATTTTACTGTCTTTTTCGGACACCTTAAAATAATGCCAGACCGGTGAAGACATTTTGGCGAGCTTGTTTTGCCGCACACAGAGAAAAGTGTCATGTATTTTACGTCATGCGATCGGCTATCGCGATCGGCATGTTTAGAGAGCACCGATCGATCGGTAGAGAGTGAGTATCGGCCGGTATCGGCCGATATCGACCGATCGATCGGAGCATCCCTAATTATTATTATTATTTTTATTCAGTACTGTGGACAATCCCCACAGCAATTTTGGGTGAAGTGTCACCAGGGACACAACGACATGCTGACTGCAGTGGGACTCGAACTTGCTATCCCCAGATTCGAAGTCCAGCACACTATCCACTGAGCCACAGACAGCACATTTTATTTCATGAACCTTTTACATTAAAAACAAGGTGGGGAGGCCCTTTTTCCAGTTTAGAGCAATAGCCCCTCCAAATGTCTGTGGACGTCCCTGCAACATAGCCTACCTGGAAAGCTGATACACAGCAATGTGTGTCGTTTTTGGATTTTAGGAGAATTATAACACCAAAAATAATGTATAAATATAAGTAATGATGGGTTAGATATAACAGGTAAATGAAGGCGGATCAGTTTTGTCACTTTTTGTGTACAAAACACACCATTATTGCATTGAATTAAAGATTGAAATAAAATGTTGCCCGAATATCGAGTGTGGCCTTTCAGAACAACCATAAACTATTTTGTCTTAAAATGTGACTTGGACCCACATTAGGAAGAAAAGGAGAAAGTCAGTAAAAATAAGGTACAGCAGATACAGAGGCTATACAATATAACAATATACACTAGAAAGAAGCAAAGTGTGAATGAAACACTGGGAGCAGAAGGACAGATAATGTAGGAACAGGCTAAAGGCTTTGGGATAGTCAACATTTTGATGGGGCTCCTCAGGCTGGTAAATGGACTGTACTTACTGTATATAGCGCTTCATCCAGTCTTTAAGACCCCTCAAAGCGCTTTACATACTACATATCATTCACCCATTCACACCCATTCATACAGAGCAGAGTACCTTACTCTAGAACCTCACATTCACACACCGTTGCCATGCCATCGGAAGCAACTCAGGGTTAAGTATCTTGCCCAAGGATACATCGACATGTTGACTGCATGGGCTGGGATCGAACCCACAACCTTATGGTTGAAAGACGACCGCACTCCCTCACAGTCACAGTCACCCTGTGTGTGGTGTGGTACATGTTTCTGACCTTAGCCTGAGCATATCCCCTGACTTGGTTAACACACTCTTCCACACATACACTCTCTTACTTGTGGATATACAGGCTCTCAGGCATACGTAGACTCACTTATCCACTTATGACTCTCTGGTATGAGAATCATAATATAATTACATAATGGTATGTGTTGTAAGAGTTCCCTTGCACCCTCTCAAACCTTATAAAGGATGTAATTCAGATGTCAGCCATGTTTTATACCTAATTTGTTTCTGAAGCATCTCTCTTTGTCTGTCTGGCTAGATCCGATGGGAGAAGAACATCACATTAGGAGAACCTCCGGGGTTCCTCCACTCATGGTGGTGGTGAGTGTTTTTATGCCTAATGAATCAAGTTACATTCCTCCTCATGCTGTTTTTCTTCATTCCATCATTGACAATATTAATTAAAATGCTCATTCCCCCTCCTTCTCCTACCATTTTAATGTATCTTCATCTCATTAATTGTACCCAAAAGCTCTTCTTCAAGTAGCTGTTTGCAAATCCGAACACACTCTCCTAAAGTTGTCTATTTCAATGATCATAATATAATCCTACTTACTGCCTCTAAAATGGACTATTATTTTTTATCTATTGGGCTTTAATGTTTCTGTTTTGCCGTCATGCTTCTCTCTGACTGCCTCTCTGTGTGTTGCAGTGTTTTCTGGGACTTGTACTGTGCGGCTCCAGAGAGAAGAGACTCATGTGAACACTCCAGTGAGGCCAAAGCCTTCCATGACTACGTGAGTCTGCACTGATTTCATTGCTCCTCCTGGTTAATCAACACAGGAATCTATGCCGGGAGATGTATTGTGTATTGAAACATCATGAGTGAATGGAAAGAGATTTATTTAAAAAATGAGATACATTGGGAATAATGCCAAATACAGTCAGTCAATCCCTTATTATGACTGTTTTGCTCATGATGTTTTAGTTTTGCTGCTCCTTTAGACTGAATTAGGGAACAAAACCCGCTTTGGGTTGTCTGTCATTACTGACTGACAAAGATTGTTGACACTACATGCTGAATTTACAGTGGTTTGAATTTTGCTGTTTTCTAATTACGATAATATGCCTAGAAGCCCAACAAATATACCAAAACAAGGATATGGATTGAGAACAGATGTCCAAATAATACATCATTTGGAATTTAAGCCATAAGGTTATGAGGGATACACAACATTTAATCAGTTTCTCACATCCTTTACCATCACAACATACTTAAGACTGTTTAGTTTAAGTATGGCCACAAATTAACTTTATAACCTCCTCCAATGGTTTTATCTTGCAATGAATCGTTGATCAAAAGAGTTGTTTAATTGATTGCGTGTTGCTTGTTGGACGTGTTCCGGCTAAAATATTGGGAGCACATTGCGCTGAGGAGCAGACTGGGCAGGCAGACATTGGCCCATGTGGTGGAAACATTGTTTATTGCTGTGTTTTCTCAGTGTGGCTCCACTTCACTGGTGTAATTCCCGCACATCAAGCCATTGGTTTATTCAGTCATGCACCATCCAGTAACAGGAATACAGAGAGCAGTGCCAGGGCTCATCAAGTTTTAGATTAGCTAGTGACTAAGAGAAAGGAAGTGCGATTCACCTCACAGGAAACTCTAGACGTTAGGTGTGGGGGGGTCTTCTCTCTCCTGGTTTCTACATTGTTAGTTCTCCCACAAAGTGTGACTCATCACATTTGTCTATACTGTGTTTTATTGACATGTATTGTTGGAAGTGCACAGGTTCTGCGTAGCCCAGCAGGATCTTCCCTCCTCCCCTCTGTGGTTATCTCCCTCTTCCCTTCAGGCTTGCGGTCCTGCAGAACCGGTGGGGGCCCTCTTCTTTTATCTTCTAGGTGTATGTGCTTTTAAATGTGTGTGCATACGCAGGTGATGCTGCTGATGCCGGCGATGATGATCAGGGTGATGAATAGGCACTCCAAGGACGAGGCAGCTATGTGATGATGTCATCCTGGCTCAGAGGAAGGGAGCTGGAGGGCAACACGACCTCAGCCCTGTGAGACGGGAGAGGGAAGCAGGGGAACATGGAAATGAGAAGGAGTCAAAAAGAGGGACATATTCTTTTTGAATTCATTTATTAATAATAACTTTATTTATACTGCACTTTTCAAAACATAGTAACAATTCAATTCAAATTCAAAACCTTTATTTATCCAGGTAAAATCCCATTGAGATCAATGATCTCTTTTTCAAGGGAGACCTGCAGCAGTAGGTTCCACAAGAAGACATAAAAACATAAACAACAGAACAACAAAAGGACATCATACAGCAAAATGTACAGGGATTACAATTTACATATCTAACCACATGTACAGGTACCAACAGCATCTGATTTTGTAGCATCCAACTGAGCTTTAAAAACATGTAGTGGTACTAGCTTGGTAATTTTCCATTATTTTTGCAGACTGTTCCATGTTAGTGGAGCTGCACATCTAAAAGCTTTCTTCCCTAAGACAGTCCTAGCACTTGGCACATTTAATAAAACCACAGCATGCGATCTCAGGCAATAAATAACAGTGTGCTTTACATGGATTAAAAGCAAGCTGTTCAGGCGGCAACTGAACATGAGGTCAAACAATCCCCCCCCCCAAAAAAAAGACTATGCAACGTTACAACAATAGCAACAGGAAAACATTTAGAGAATAAAGTAAAATGAAATAAAACAAGGGTGTAGATTGAAATTGACTATTGGCATTATTAATGAAAGGCTTTAATAAAGTGAAGGGTTTTAATAGATTATTTAAAATATGTCACTGATTCTGCTAGCCTCAGATTCCCCGGCACCACATTCATCTAAAACACTCCGCACCATCAAAGAAAAAACAAAACACATTTACAGCAATTTAATCTAATTGTGCTCAAGACGACAATAAGAGGATATTTGTATTTCTTCGAATCAGATCCGAATCAATTCTATTCAGGAATCATTCTGGAGAATCTTAACATCATTAGCACAGCTTATTCTTTCACTTCCTGCAGGGATGTAATCAGAGAATTATAATTATACCAATTGTAATTAGACCAAGGTCACTTTCAATCAACTGTTCCAATGCTGCGCTGCGTCTCAGATCCAATCAGAGCTACTACCTACATATCTGCCGCTCAATTAAAACAAAATAAGAGGACAACCGCGGTGGCCGTCGTAGGACGCCTTCATTTAATGCTGGTGTCTCTCATTCACTCTCCTGACTTTGAGACTGATGGAGATTTTAATCAGGCTTTGATGGTAATTATTTTCAGGTACGTAATTACTGAGTGAAGTCCAAATGAATGGCAAGGTGATGTAGTACATCTGACTTAAAGAAATTGTGTTTTTCTGCACCGTAATTATTTCCCCGCTCCCTCTGTTTACATGAGCATGAAGTTATACATGCATTTGTGTGCTGTTCATCAGACGATCACATCACACAGGATTAGAGTGTTTGAGGATGGTCTTCTAGGACATTCATCCTGTAATCTAAAGTTAAAAGGGAAAGAAAGAAACGTTGGTTGAACAAAGTGAAGTGCGATGGTGAAGAGAAAAGCAATGTTATTGATTTCCATCCTCAGACAAGGCTTTTCAGGCATCAGAAAGGCCGTTTACAGTTCTGTTAAGTGCTTTGTAAATTGTGTTCTTGATACTAAATGAGCGGTTTCCATTTGCAAGGGGCCATGAAGTCATAAAAACAAGTTATTTTTAAACTCTCATGCTTGGTCCGGAAATTGCCTTATTAGAGACAAAAGTCAGCTGTTGTTGCTTTCCTTTCTTCGAAGAATAAGACATCAATCCATGCAGCTCATCTCATGCTATTCCGGATAGTGATGCGGGATTTAAAGTTGACGGTAGAGAGTTGTCTTCACTAACATTTATGTGTTCTTTTATATAGCTATATTGCAATATGTCATGATAGTTAATAATGGAGGGAAATATGAAATATTATATGGAATATATATGGAAATATTGGTTCTTAACTGACTGGTTTCTTTCATGGCGCCAAACTTTTGTCCCGACTAATTACTTTGATAGTTAATAAAAATGTGGGCAGATTAAAGTGGAGCAAGAAAGAATCAAGCCAGCATGAAATGACTTGATATTATTCATATTGAGCATATTAGCAGCATTTCTTCTACTACATTATGACATTTAGACCTTTTTAAATATTTGCTGTACTGTTCCATCTAATTGAAATACAAACTTCTCTATATGGATTGTGCATTGGTGCATGAGTGTGTATTTGGTGTGGAGTTTGGAGAATAATTATACAGTTACTTACTGCTTTCCCTCAGTGGATTTGTCTTGCTATGCGAAAGGAGACAGAATTGAGGTTAGGTAAGCAGACTGGCAGATGAGTTAGAAAATAGCGGGAGTTTAGATGAACTAATGAAAAAACGGAGAGTTATCTCACTCCTGATTTCAGGAGATTATCAGTGTCCCACACTTGTACTGGTTGTGCTGTGCAGCCTGCAGATAAGAATGAGTTTATTAACTGAAAAAAGTCCGTTAAAAAGGAGTCCTCCCAGATGAATCGGAGGTTTTTGTATACGAATTGTTTATTGTGATTTATTTACAGTTATGAATTAAAACAATTTTTGTTGTAAACTGAACTTGGCAGGTTTCTCTGAAGGGTCTTTTGTAATGGCTAAACAGTTACCAATATGGCACTGTTTGGGCTTTTAGCTTTACATATTTGTTTCTATTATGTAAATGTGTAATTGATTCTCACAGAGGAAAGATTTAAGAGTAGCGATAATATTCAATCAACCAGCAAACAAGAGGAACAATTGAATGCAACCAGGCAACGCATGCAGACTCGTAAGGTGACAGGCAGGATGGCCATTAAAAACAAATAAATAAAATAAATTAGGACAAACCGAGAGATAGGCAGACTAGCTGGAGAATAACTCCACCCATAAAATCCCAGCAAATTCTAAAAATGGTTGAACACATTATCCAACTATGTTACCTTATATTGAATCTAAAAAAGTTTGTTCCTGACAAATTCAAATATGATGTTGGAGTAAGGTAATTTAATTTAGTCCAATTAAGGTTTGTAATGCTCCTTTTAGCCCAGCCAGAGAGAAGTCTTGATACCTTTGAAAATGTATTTTATGTGTGTACATTTAATGTACATTTTAAATCATGGCTTTACTTCAATAACTAAAAATGATTTGCTTAATCTATAATCATATTTATTGTCTTATCTGTTTTCTTCACCAACGTATGACTTCAAATGTCTTGTATTCAATTTACTAGAAAAAACTACAAAGAAGCTGAGTAGCTGTCTTGATGATACAAATAGTTGTGGATTCATTTTCTGTAGATTGACCACTGGATTGGTAGACACATCATTTAACCTGTGATGCCTTAAATGTTGTGTTTTACATACTAGTATGTATTGTAGCAGTGTGGGCATACTGTGAGTTGTAAGCATTTTCTGCAAGAACAAAGGAAGAAAGAAAAGTTATTTAGTATACACATTATATTATAAATAATTAATTATCTGAGTGTCTATTTGCACCCGGGTGTAAATAGCCAACCCAGTCTCACGGCATTTTGTGTTATAGTCACGAGATTGAATCCATTGATTCGTGTTCACCAACACGATTTTCCCCTTTTTTTCGTGTCACACAGAACGATTTTTAAAAGCAATGTATTTCTATTGGTAGTATGTTTCGTGCCTGCAACACGTCTTTTTGTCCGGTCGGGTCTTGGAAGACCGGAAGCTGTGGGGTTCATAAAAACATGTT